TTTAATTAATATCTTAAATTAAAATTGATTTTGTTTTTAGGCTGAAATTCATGGCAAAGATTTCAGCAAAGATTTTCTTCGCTCTCTGAGAAAACCTCTAATAACAACATTTAGAAAGGTTTTTTCACTATCGAAAACAATTTTCAGTATACAAAAACATGTATACAATGCTATATACATATGTTTTACCCAAATCGAATCGTGACACATTGACATTCTTACTTTTACATTTTCAGCAGTGTATTTGGGTCTACGATAGTTGCCGATCCAGATCAACATGCTATATTTACAGAAATCTATGTCCATTATACTGTTATGCTGCAATTATTGGAAATACCAAGGATATTTTGGGTACAATATACGCATCAGATGAAGGACAAACTAAACACAATACATCAAACATAAGAGAAACTCCCAGAACCAATAAAGGATCTATATGCAACCCTTAAAAAAGCGGCATCTCTGTAGCAGTCCTCTTTTAAAAAATATTAATTATAAGGAAACTCATTCTTGTTATATTTTTAAATAGTGTTGATTTTTGATTTCGGTTCAATGGATTTGTCATTTTACTTGATAACGTTAATTTTGTATTTGAGAACAAGAACATTTTAATTTGAGTTTTTTGGAGAAAACCACCATTGCATTTTTTAATAAAATGTTTAAACTTTCTGAGATATTTTCTATATAATAAGTGTATGAAGTTTCTAGTTTAAATTGTTTATTAATAAAAAAATAACAAATTGTTGAGAGTATATAAATGTGATTTTTTCTTCCAAAAATATTTAAAATTCTTATGCTTTCGCATCAGTTTTCAAGGAATTATTTTCTGGAAGAAATTACAATTTAGAACGTTTTTGTCATGGTTTCGGAAAAATTTTCCAAGATAAATTTTGGTTTACAGCAAAAAAAAAAAAGGAAAATAGACATTAAAATACATTTCACATCAAAGGTAGCTGATATTTTCAAAGCAAATTTTAGTCAATTTCACATACATCTGTTATATGGTATAAGTAATGTGACCATTTATATTTTTCGTCAGAGCGGGACGCCTGCGGAATTTTGTAAAAAAAAAATTATGCATTTAAAAACAAATTTTATTCAAAAACGGAGAGAATACGTATAAATCTAATTTATGAAATTAATCTTATGTCTAAGTATTTGTTTTATATTTGTCAGCAGAGCAAATTAGTTTTAAAATATCGGGTCTAGTTTTCAAGTAGGAATGGAGCTGATTACATTGTTTGTTGATGTTAGTCTTAGTAATTAAAATAGCTTTTAAAACTGTCACACTTAACTGCGTTTTTTCACTTGTCCATATTTTATTCATTAGGGAAAAACTCTTTCGACAGGTGCGTTACTTCCAGGCATACATAAAACATACTCAATAATTGTGCGAAAGTTTGTGCAGTTCAGATTAGTAGCACGGAAGTGTTTAAACAGCTCCACCCAGCTTTTGATTTTTTCAACTGTGACGCAACTGGAAATAAGCGAAAACTCATCGAACGCCTCCGTATCTTGGCTACTGCTAAGAAATCTTTGTGTGATCAGCAAATCCGTCACATTCTGTACGTCTTCCCAAGTAGGGACTTTTCTCAAATTTGACCATTCAAATACTGCTAGTTGTGCATTGAACTGGCACCACTGTTCCAAGTATTCTTTACTTGTCTTATAAAAATCCGCTGCCGCAGTTTTCACATTCTGCTCATCAACAGCAACGTCAGTTTTTTGTAATTTTACCAGTAGATTGCGGACGGAATGAGGAAGGAAAATCGAATTCTCTTTAAGTTCTAAGTTATCTCGGAGACGATTAATTTCATTCGCAGACTCTATTGCGGACACGTTTTGTCCCTCGATTTTATACACGGCTTGATGAAAAATCGCTGTCTGTGCGTGCAAAAAATATAACCACAATTCAGAGCTGGAATTTTCGAAAAACGTTTTTAAAATAGTAGGTCATTTATCTATGCTCAGAAAATAGGTTTTCAAAGGCTGAAACATTTTTAAAATTCTCTCAAGCGCCGGCATTAAAGCAAGCCACCTTGTTTTACTGTAGCCCAACAGTTTCTGATACTCTGTGTCGGTGGAATCACAGAACTCTCTCAGAACTTCTACCCGAATGCTGTAGATGTAGAAGAATGAATAAATTTTCACAATGATGCATTCGAAGTCAACAGGGAGACAATCTGCGGCTGTTTTGATAGCATTATGAGTTATATGGGCTCCACACCCAATCCCAATGAGCTGCCCTCCGACGGATAGGTTCAATTTCGCGTAAACATTATTTATCCCTTTTCTATTCTTTCCTCCGAAATTGCAGTTTGTATTGTCTGCACAAAATGCCACAATTTTCTTATTCAAATCATTGCAAGATAATACTTCTTTCAAATAATCCACAATTATATCAGATGATTCGCCTGGCGGCTTTTGAAACTCTAAAATCCTGACTCTCACGCCTTCGTACGGTACAAAATAGCGAACTAAAACAGGGAATAATTTTATTGAGCCAAGATTGGAAGCATCGGTTAATAAAGATATGCGTCATAGGTGCCAGCACATTTACAACTATAACTTGTGATTTTGTACGGGCACATCTAAATTTTTGCTCAAAACATGTTTGTATTAGATTTGAAGCACAGTCATTCGAACGAAAACTGTGGTTTTCTTGCACTGTGTGGTACGCCCACGCACCCTCCGCTGCAGCTATATCCAAGTCTTTGGAAGTCGCCAAATTTGTTCTTTTAAAAAAAGAAAGCATTGACGAGCTTGAAGCGGCAGCTTGATCAGAAAGCTTGTGTTTTTCCGATTTTAAATGCTTCTCAATATGACTGGCACCACCATGTTCAACACTAAAATCAGTACGACATTTTTCACACGTAACGTCTGATTCACCACTTCTTTGTTTTATAAATGGATACTTATTTTGCAAAAAAAATGTTAAAAGTACACTTGCGTTTAGGCATTATTGTAATGTTACAATCACTAACATTGAAAATAAATTGTTTGACTTTGCTCGCCTTCTCCGACTCCGCGATGAAAAGATACCAGAACAATTTAGAGCGTCTATGCTTAGGGTACTGACAGAGTGACAGAAACTTTTTCTGTTTTTATAAGCATTTTTAATTTGGTGATTTCCCTTGTTATGCTGGAGTAAATGTCAACGCCGTCGACGACGCCGAAAAAGTTGAAACAGATTGAACTTTTTCGGCGTCGAATTTCTTACGGCGTTAAGATAAACTGCTCTCATAAAATTTCATACGATTCAATTTTTTTGACATTTGACGCCGTCGACATTAACTCCAGCATTAGCATTACAAAATCTTTCGAGTTAATTTTAATGTTAATGTTGCTTGAAAAAAACTATGCAAATAAATTATATGTTCACGGGGAAAAAAATAACTCATGTATTTTTCATCAATATCAATATCCAGTATTTTCGAAAGCGGGACATTTTTGCTCTCGCTGGGGACAGCGGGACAGATAACCTCAAAGCGGGACGTATGGTCACGTTAGGTATAAGTGATGTTGGAATAAAAGGATAAAGCAGAAACAAAATCACGTCATATTTTTTTATACTTTAAATTTCTATTCTGAATTGTGCATTATGTAATACGTTTTGTTTTGATTATCAAATTACTGCACAATAATAAGATCTATGTGAGGCTTCTATTTTCTAATTACAACATGTTAACCAACACTTACGACCAAATTTAGTCTAGAAGCTAGTACGTCAAATTTTGTGCCGATCGGTTAGAGGTAGCTATAGCTTCCATATATATTGTTCATCCAGTTTGTTATATTTGTTACCTTCAGCCGTAATATGCACTCCGTAACAACGATATTCAGGGACGTATATCAAATACAGCTCAGAAATATCTTTGCCAAATTTTATCGAGATCGGTTCAGATTTGGATTTCCAAAATAATTAATTGCTCTGTTCCAGAACCTGCAAGAATCTACTAGTTTTGCAATTTTCTTCGATATCATAAAGGGAAAATCGGTTATCGTAGTAAAAACTTTTATATTCTTGCAGTTCTGGAAGAGACCAAATATTTTTTTTAATAACGACGTAAAATTTAACTCTTTCAGCAATAACAAATTTACCAAACTAGGAAAATGTTTTTATTCAAAGCACTTTTAGAAAAATATTCCAAAGCATTGGTATCAAAAAGCAATTTTGAGAAAAAAAATTTAAAATAAACAAAACCAATTTTTGCATGTTTAAAAGTATATTTTCCGCTATAAGACTCCGGTACAGAGTTGAATTTTTCTAGTTTCTTTGAAGTTGAGCAACCTTTCTTATTGAGTCATGATTTTATCAATGCTTGAGAGCATTAATAGGGTTGTTCCAGAACCTGCAAGAATCTACTAGTTTTGCATTTTTTTTCGATATCATAAATGGAAAATCGGTTATCGTAGTAAAAACTTGTACATTCTTGCAGGTTCTGGAACAGACCAAATATGTAATAATAAGTAGATTTTTATAAGTTCTGTTTTAAAAAACCAATCAGAGATTGTTATGATTTGCTTTTTCAACAAGTTTTACAAATTTGTATAATTTTTCATTCAAAAATTTTTCATTTTGACTGTTCATTGCCCCAGCAACTGCGTCGATGCGACTATCTGTATTCCCTACCATGGAACAATGTATGTCAAATTCCAATGAGAATATGGTTTTATTCTCTAAAAAATTACACGTCTTCGTAAAACGCGAAGCCTTTTAAAAGTTAAAAAATCCCATATCTGTAAGGGAATTTATCAACCCATTGATTCCAATAAGAAAACGGCAACTCTCCATCTCTCTCAGTATAATGTCGATTAACAACACATATCGATTCTACAATTCCTCATCCCTAATACGTTCCACAAAAACAGAGAGCAAGAGCGTACATTGGAGAAAAAAAAAAAACAACAGAGAGCCAAAAATGTTGGAGCCAATTGAAAGCGAGAGAGAGAGAGTGACAAACAAAGTCAAAAATGAATTCTGTTGGGTTGCCTTTTCACAAATCAATTCATTCGAAATTTTTGTGTTGAGAAGAACGTTGTGTTAACGCGTGCGACGGTTCGTTCGTTTTCATTAGTTTTTAGCGGATAGAGAACGTGTGCGCGGCGCTTTTGTTTTAGTGTACGTTGGTGAATTCTTTTTCCCAATTCTCTTGGTGGAAAATTGTGATGAAAAACGAAAACAATAGAGAAATAATAAAATTTTGATAGTGTCAAATTTGGTTGAATCCTTGGCAATTTGTCTTGCTGTGTTTTGCTGCCAATACAGCACAGGGACTTTGGAAGTTTGCCTGTTTGTTGTGTACTGCTATTGCTGCTGCTGCCGTCGCTGCTGCTAGAAAAAAAGAATAGAAACAAAAAAAAAAAAAAACAAATATCTGCAAATAAAATTTGTGTTGGAAAAAGAATTTTAAAATAATAGAAAAAAATATTCTTCTAATACAAAGTGGTTCATTAGAAAGGTGTATAACAAAGTGTATGAAGTTATTACAACATACCACATCAAAGAGGAAAAGCATAAAGTGAAAAAAGAATTGAGTAAAAAAAGTTCATTATTTGTCCCACTGAGCAGAAAAATTAGTGAATACTATATAGTATAAAAAAACACAGAAAAGATACAAGGTGGAAACAATATTGTGTTGAAAAAGCCACCAACAACCAGCCAAAAGGAGAAATCAATATCAAAGAAACGCCAGAAAAAAAAGCACAGAAAAAAATAAAAACAAATGCAAGTAAACTAAACTGGTTTCGTTGCTCGTTCATTGCTGCTGTTGCTGCCGATGCTACTGCTGCTGCTGCTCGTCTTTAATGTTATGTACACTAAACATCACAACGGTTAACGTTGCGTTGCGCCCCCGTTTTCACAGTTCGCGTCGCTGCCTATGACATCGTTGTCTTCGTCGTCGTCGTTTTCGTCGTTGTTGTAGTTTTGTTTCGTATCATCAGCCATCCAACCAACCGACCAACAACTCCCCAAAACAAGTGAGAAATATAAATAGCAAAAACAACAAGAAGAACAACACAACCCACAAAGTTAAAAGTAAAGGAAAATTCAAGGAGAAAGAAGAAGAATGAATTTTGTGAGTGATATATAATGTGTGTTGCATGTAAATAAGAAAACCAAAAAAAGAGGTTAAAAGAAAGGCCAACGTAATTACAATTATTAAAAGAAAAAAAAATAGGTGAAGCAAAAAACGACAAAAAATAATTAAAAAACCTTGTATATGGGCCCTAAATTGTGTAAACAAGAAATAAGAAAATTTTCCAAATACAAACCCCCCCCTCAAAAGCAGTGAAGTAAAAAACTGTTGTTGTTTTTCTCCTTTTTGCTAGGTGGCCCATTCGTTTGTTCGTTCCTGGTCGTCGTCGTGGCCGTTGTTATTGTCGGCAAATAAAAGTGCAAACATTTTCTGCAAAGTATCTATAAAAATTCGAATGATTACAAAATCAAATATTACATTGAAAGTGTAAACTCCTCATGAAAAAAAAACAAACATCCAATTTGAAAATTAAATTTTAATATCAATTGAAAAATATTTGTCAAGTTTTGCCCAGCATCCCCGATACCCAACCAACAAATTGCTGTCCATCTTCTCAACAGTATATCGTGTGTGTGTTTTGTTGTCACTACTTTGTGTATGTTTACTTTTTCTATTATTAATTATTGTTTGTGTACCACAAATTAACGTGACTATTATTGTTGTTGTTGTTACTGTAGTTGTCAAGTCAAAACATTTTGGAGTCAGTCGCGCTCTACTGTAGTGTGTGTGTGTTTGTGTTTGGTGATAACATCAAAAGCAGAGGAAAATCGATTGCATTGTGTGGCATATATCCCATAAAAATGGCATAAATAAATAAAACATAATTGTCTCTCTCGGACTCGGTCGTATTAACTCTCTGTCTCCTCTCACATTTGCTGTTCATTCGGGAACTTCGTAGTGAATACTACAGCCTAAGACAAAAAAATCGTACAGCCCCCAAAAACGAATGATTTTACCATGGTACAATAAGGAGGTAGAACAGCTTCGTAAAAGTACAGAAATACAGTCCTGAGGCTATGCCCGCTTCCTGTCAGAATTATTCAAAATTAGAGGCAACAAGTGGTTTTCATTTATTTGATATTTTTTGTTAATTTCTAAAAAGGGTCAAACAGCAAAAGATGAATGAAATGCCTGAATGTTCTCTCAAGAATATGTTCCCATGTGTTCAATCTTTCAATTCCATGGCAAATCTGGTTAAAATTATTAATACGCGCACCGCATTTTAAGTTTCTTCCAATCATTGATTTTGAAAATATTTTGTTTTCATTTTTCAAAACATCAAATACATACAAAAAATTGACAGAAGTCGGGCACACTTAGAAAAAAATTGTAATCAGCTGGGAGCTCTACCTTACCTTTTTATTGTACCATGGATTTTACCTACATTATTCACCGATTTTTTTTCAAGTTTCGCATTTGAATATTGTTATGGCTTATGACAAACAACATTTCGGCCGGTAGCTCACGAATATATACGTCAAGGTTGTCGGCCAATGCCCCAACTGAAGAGGGCTAGCCGGTATAGACTTGAATTTAAAAAAAAAAAAAAAATATCTAAAAAATTTGATTCGGATTTTGATAATAAATGTTAATGATTCGCAAGCGCGCAAAACGTTTGCAAGGAAATTCATGGTTAAATTATGGAGCAAAATCAAGATGTTTGGCAGAGTGAAACAAAACACGAAACGAACGAACAATTTCTAATTGAGCTAGGTAAAATTCCTTCTCGCAAAAACATAAGCCAACAAAGTGAGGTGAATATTTAAATTTTAGATTTTCTTTGCGCATATAAGAAAAAATATTCCAAAATAGCGTATTTTCCAGCCCCGTACCACTTGTGTACAACTCAGTGATCTTGCGGGCTGTCGCATACGATAATATGTCAGATAATAAAGGTTATGACACATAATATTGTGAACAAGTAAAAAACATTATGTTTGGACAGGCCGAACTTTTAATACTCCCCACCATTTGGAAGGAACTTAAAAATTAAAAAAAAAAAAACAAAAACCGGAAACTACAACTTAATTGAAAACAGTTATATGGGGACTATACGAAGACGTGGACCTGTTTAAAATTTGAAACGATTTCGGTGGATAATTTTGTTGTAATTATCAAAATACAGACTAACGGAGGTACCGTTATAAGGGGGCTATACGAAGATGTGGACCTGCATACGAAATGTTTCGCCATAGGCTATACGAAAATACGAAATTTAAAATAATGTCGCTAAAATCATGAAAATACAGAATATCGGGAAGTACAGTTATATGGGGCTATACGAAAATGTGGACCGATATAGCCCATTTACGAACATGGCCTACCTACTGCTAATCTATGCATGTATGCAAAATTTTAGCCTTCTATATTAATTCGTTCGAAAGATATGGTGATTACAACAGATAGACGGACAGCGCCAGATCGTGTTAGAATTTTACGCCATTTCAGAATATATATACAGGGTTGCCCATATTCGACGGACTCATGGCTCTTTGGGCCCATTCCAATCGACGAGGCTTGTCCGCAGGCAACATTCTTTGCGTCAATTGAATTTTGTACGGGAACAAATGCAAATCAATGCGAATAATCCGTTGTAAAGCGGACCGAGCCATGTCCAATTGCTGAGAACGGCGTTTTTGGGATGTTCTTGGGGACCTCTCAACACTGGCTCGTACGGCAGCGATATTCTCGGCCGATCGCCTTGGTCGACTTTTATATGGCCTCTTCGGATTAGAAAGATCCTTACCAGTCGAAAATTTTTCGTATAAACGCTTAATGGTGTTCTTATAAGGCGCACTTCTCACATTTTTTAATGATTTAAAAGGACGTTGAATTTTCACAATTGACTTCTTGTGTTGAATGTAAATTTCAACTATTTCAGAGCGCTCGCGTGGCATTTATTGGTTCATGGTAAAAATCTGCATGGACTGACGCTTCAAACGCGGTATGTCATTAAGCGATGTGACATCTCTGTCAAAAGTTATGGCGTTGCCAGATGGGTCCGTCGAATATGGACAACCCTGTACTTTGTATGGTCTATTTTGAATATTTCGAAGAGTTACAAACGCAATGACAAAGCTACCCTCCATTGAATGGTGGAGGGTATAACAATATAAAGTTTTATTATTTGCAATAGCCTCCATATAACGATTTCGCCTGATTTTCTGTCTGGATTCCTATATAAAAGTAATAAATGAAAAAAATCTCTTTGAGTTTTTTTGCCTTGTTAAACTGAAAATTGTGTGTTTGTAATACCAATTCTTTATTCCTCTTCAAGTTTTTTTTTATTTGAAATGTATTTCCTTGTCAAAAAATTAATTTCACGTTTTCACACATCAAAAAATGTGCTTCATTTTTCAATTGCAAAAAAAAAAAAAACGGTTTTTTAACCTGAAAATATGCCGTGTTGACATCACTGAACCCTGAACAAACGAAACAAAACCCCTTCTCTCCCTCTCTCTTTTTCTCATTCTGCTACATTATTCTATCTCTCTGCAATTTTATCTCGCACAAAACCAAATCTATTAACAAGAATTCTTATTAGAATTTTTGTTTGATAAGCTGTTGAAAGAGAAATAATTTATTTTGTTTTTATCTGTTTTTTTTGGTGAAAATTAAAACAAAGCAAAATAATCTTAAGAATAGATAGCTGCTAATAACAAAATCAAATAAAACAAAAGTCCCCAAACCAACTAAATTTCTTGCTCTCAAACATGGCTACATAAACACAGAGAAACAATAACAATTATTGCCCCACCTATGACTTTTGCGCTCTACCTTTTTAGTTGGGACTTACTTCGCAAATTGGGAGTTCTATTAAATTGTCATTCGGTTGTTTACTGACAACAACAAAACAAAACTTCGAATTAATGTTGCTGCAGCAAATATATGTATGTTGCAAATTGCCAAGAAACACTCAGAGAAATCGTAAAAAAATTAATTGATACTTGATAAAATTTTATGCCATAATAAGAGGCTACTGACGTATTGCCCTACTTATTTTATTGTTTTTGATATGAAATTCTCGTATTTTTTTTGCAATATGTGTGCCTTTTTTTTGGTTGTTCAACCTTGACCTTGATGTGTGTGAGTGTGTAGCTAACAAAATGAAAATCTCTTAAAACTAAATTTAGAATATTGTGAATATTTTGTTCACGTCGATTGTTGGTACCCTCGGAGAGAAAAATTAGTTAAAGTTTTAAAATTAATTTACGTTGGACACAGCATTTTTAAGCACATTTGTAAAAAAATACATGATCAAAGATGATCTTTACAAATATTTGAAAACATTTTGAAATTCGCCTTAAAAAATCCTCTTTTCGAAAATCCGCAAAATTGTTTCTTAAAACCTGAACATCTATAAAATTTTCTTTAAAAATGGAATTCTTGGTTGAAAATTATTTATTATAGTAATTAAATCAGTATATTGCTAGCAATCCGCAAATATTGTAGAGCTTTCAGTTTTGAAAAACATTACTCTCTGTAAAACATTACTCTCTCCAGGCAATTAATTTATAAAAAGTCCACGACTAAGGACCTCGCAGATATACAGGGTGAGATAAAAAAAAACTCCGACCAACTTCAGACTGCTGTCATTTCCAAGCCACTCGTCCGACAGCTGTTAAAATTATTCCAGTGCGAACTCATTATTTTATTTACAAGCGTTCAAAAGCATTTTGGTGAGAGTTTTCCAAAAAAAAAGTTATTCGTGATGGAATTCAAGCGTGATAGAGTGATTTCTTTAAATTTTTCCGGAAAACCACAACTGGCTATCAATAGAGCACTCCAGCATTTAAATGTGAATTAAGCTTTTGTGTCTCGTACCATCGCTCCGTTACCGTGATACTGGTAGCGTAGCCCGACGTCAATGAAGTGGACGGAAGAAAACAGCAACATCAGCAGAAATGGTTCGAAAAGTAAAGAAGCGACTTTATCGAAACCCGCGTCGCAGTGGCTGAAAAATGCCTCGAGAGCTGAACATATCGCAATATTCCATTCGCAAACAATGAAAAATGAGCACGGCGTAAAGCCATTGAAATTCCAAAAAGTGCAAGAACTTACACCGCAACGGAAAGAAAATAGACTCAAAAGGGTTGCTTCGCTTCTCCGAAAGTGGTGAACTGTCGAATTTGGTTTTCTCCGATGAGAAAACATTCGTTGTCCAGCAGTTTGTAAACAAACAATGTTATCGTTATCGTACTTGCCAAAGAGGTCAGCTGAAAATGTGCACCTTCGGTTGGCCACCAGAACTCAAGCGCCGGCCATGGTGATGTGGGACGCCATAACAGCCGATGGGCGTTTTTTGAAGAGAGTTGTATGCTTATTTCGCTTTCATTGTGCGTTTTGTTTTCCAAATTTTTGAATGGGGGAGGTCCGCAGAACAAATGGTCCGATCTCTACCATCTTTATAATAGATCTTGTGCTGATAGAAATATTGGGATGTGCCAAGTTTGAATGGAATCTGGTGTTAATTTTGCGTTTTATTAGCTTAATGGATATTCAAAACCTTTTTGGGGGGGGAGGTACCAGAAGGAGTGAGCCAATATATTCCATTTCCACGCCAGAACTTTGGTTAATAAAAATATTGTGATGTGT